GCCCTGCCCCTGCCCGCGGGCGCCCGGGCTCCAGGTGCCCACCGCCCGCCGGAGATCCCAGAAGGCGAGCGCGGTGCAGCCGGGTACCAACTGCCACACTCACCGACAGGCGAAGTATCAAGGCAGGGTACGAGAGGAGGTCCGGCCAGCCTCCCGGGCCCCAGAGTTTAAGTCAACTCCGATCCGCCTTCAGGGGCGGGTCGAGCTGCAAGACCCGGGCTCCCGAACAGCTGGGCCCCGCCCCGAGCGTCGGCGGCAGCTGCAAGGCCCGCGCCGCCGCGGTCCTAGTGCCGCCTGAATATGTTCCGCACTGGCCAGCCAGGCGTTCCAGTGGATTACGCCGAGGTTTGCAGACCACATTCACTTACCGATGGAAAAAACTTCTTGCGCAGTGGTTCTCTGCCTTTAAAGTGCATTGGAATTATCTAGAGGTCTTGTTAAAAAGGGATTGAAGAGCACTGCCTGCGAAATTGGCAATTCAATATGTGCAGAATAGGATTGAAAATGTTGGTTTCTTTAACAAGTTCCCTGGTCTCAGAACCAGTGATCTAGAATTATGAGGTAGACAAGCTTTCCATAGAGCTGTTATGGAAAAGCTCCAAAATCATACCAGCGAAAAACCAAGGAGAAAGAGAACTCACATTTATTACGTCCCAGAGGATCTAGTGCTCTGAAGAATCTGGGCCCCGAACTCAGTTGCAACATTCCTTATATACAGGATTTTTACATAAGCTGATTGGTTGATTTGAACTCAGACCGTTAGAAAACGGTGGGAGTTGCTATGGTTGCAAGTAGTAACAGGAGGAAGGGCCGGAGTACTGATGGTTACAAATTGTTACAGGAAGCAGGGAGCTGCTAAGGAATACAAGTAGTTATAGTCATTGCCTAGACAAGTAGGATAAGGTACAAGTGAGCTCTGCAAGTGAGCTCTTACATGCAGCAAGCGTATTTACAGAAACAGAACAAAAGGCTGATTAGCCTTTAATGAAATTCCTCTTCAAAGCATGTGAAAGAAAGTGCACCAAGTGAAGCATAATGTAAAAAATTTTCAGCCTTTTGCAGTAGGGAGAACATCCATTAATGCAGCAGAACCTTCTCAAAGAAAAGGAAATACAACTTTTTTACAGGAGGGTTTTCATAGGAAGTAAACAAGAGAATCCTGTATGAGCAATTAAGAATGAGAAAGGGCAGAGGCGTTTAATTCTTGCGATATGGAGGACAGGGTATTCCTTTGCCTGTGAGGTTCAGTTCTCAGCTCTTCCACTTACTAGACATACAACCTTGGGGAAATCACTTGACCTATCTCTGCCCAGTTTTCCCATCTGTAAAATGAGAATAACACCTATACCTCATAGGAATTTTGAGATAGTTACTTGAATTAATATATAACCTAGAGCAGACCCTGGAACATGGTCTGGTTCACTTGGCTCAGTTATAAGGTTTTCCAGAACCAAAGCCATACAGGTCAACAAGCAGAAATGAATCCAAGGGGGAGAGAGTTTCCTTGCCAGAAAGTCTGATAGGGACTCCACCACCATCACTCCCACCCCTATGGACTCATATACAGCCTTAGGAAGGCGTAATGCCCAGCAAGATTTAATGCCCAGGAAGCTTCAGGTCTATTTGGGATGAGGTTGCTGAGCTCTCTGCCATGTATCCTTGTCTGTGTTTATGCTGCTTTTCTCCTGTCTCCTCTAGATAGGTAAAGCTTGTCTGATTTTCCAAAAGGTTTTGGTCTTTTCACCAATCCTACCATACAACTGACATTTATGAATGAAGGAAGCTATGTAGTAAATCAGACAAATTCAATGACTCAAAGTAACCTTTCAGGGTGATCTGATCTTAAATTCCTAACTGGGCTGGTCATGGTGGGTAGTCACCCTCAGGCCTATAAAGGTTTCTCTTTGCCTTAGGCAATCTTTGTCCATGTTCTTGTGCATCTAGGTTAACACACTCTGAAATACCAGAAGTAATGCTCTTTTGCAGACTTTAGAATAACCACCCTCCAGGGAGCACATGGTCTTGTGCTCTAACTACCCTCTAATTCAACTACAAAGATTTCCCCACCTTACTTTCTCCCATTTTCATTTAATCTTACTTACATTCCCTCCTTAATTCCAAATGTATTAAAAAAAAAACCCTGCAGAACTGTCATTCTTCAGAGCATTTGAGATCTTGCTTCCCAACATGTCATTAGTTTGGCTCAAATAAACGCTCATAAAAAATTCTCTATGGGTTTGGACATTCTTGCATCAACACATTCATCAATATAGTAGCCCTGGGGAGTCTCCAGCAAGGAGACTTGCAAAGGGAGGACACACTATCTGGAATTTGAAAGTAAGCTTAATCAAGGGTTGGGCTTTGTAGTGCCTTCTCTTTCCGATATTTTCAACTTATTGTGCCAGAGAAACTTGTTATCCAACTGGTCAGGCCAAGGAAAGATTCCCCTAAAAGATTAGATTGCTCTAAGCTATGTCCCCTATTGTAAATTATAGATCCTCTCTCTGTGTTTCCCAACATTCGAAAGGAAAGGCTCTCAGGTCAAATTACTTTGCCTGTAGATGTTATCTCAATCTTTCAAGAGTATAACATGTAGCTCAAGGCTTGTTAACTCTGAAACTCATAAAACATGTTTAGAAAAGTGCATGACATCATTAACTTATCTATAATAAGAAACTGTGAAAAATAATATGAATGGACACATTTCAAAACGAAGTCAAAGCTGCTATCCCAGATGAACTGTCTTACTCCTTAAACCTTTGGAATGTTAACACTGTGCAAAACAATTTTTAAACTGGGCCTAAAGCAGCATTGTATTCCAAACAATTGTTTGCAAAGATAACAGAAAAGCAGCCCTGACTACCAGACAGAAAATTAAAGACATTCTTTAGAATTAAATCACTTTGTTAGCTTATCTGTACCTATAGAAATTCCCTCTACTCTTATAACTGTTCCCCTTCCCATTCTCATAAACACTCCTTGCCTTCACCTCCTAGTCCGACCAGTGTTTGGGTTTCTACCTGAATCAGTGCCTCCCAAATAGCTATTCTTTTGGATTCAAATAAATGGTCGTTGCCTCTCACTTTGACCTTTTATCTTGGGGTTAATAAAATTATGTTGGTTAACAAGAGATGCCTATTATTCATTGTAAAGAAATAACTGTAAGTTATAAATCAAGTCTGGTTTTCTATTTCTTTTCTTGGTTATCTCCTATATTGTTTTTCCTTCCTTTTAGTAATATTTAGCTGGGTACATTCCCCAGGCCTCCCTTGAGGCTAAATATTGCCGTGTTTCAGTTCTCAAAGTGACGTATGAGCAGAAATATTGTATGCAACTTCTGCCTAAGGAAATGCCTTACCCTGAAATTCCTAGACCTTTCTCCATTTGCTTGGATTGTAATGTAGAAATGACAGTAACCCGATATCAATCACGCAAAAGAAGATAATTCCTGACATGACTTTTAAAATTTTTTATGCCATAAATCTCTTGGGCAAGTTTGGTGGAGCCAATAAACCCCCTCTTAGAATAATGCTTTGGAATGCTTAAAATAAAATACATAAGATTACAAAGGAAGTTAATTAAATATGAAAGTTATCAAAATATTTTTTAAAATAAATCTGTTTCTTTATTAACACAATAAATAAGATCTAGTAGCAGATCTAATAACTGATTTTGAAACTTGTGGACATAAATGATATTTCAAGCTTATCTGCATAATTATAATAAAAATACCTGTGATTTTTACAGTTAAAAGTTTACTGTTATACTGCAGTATGACTGTGGCTTTGTTGCCAACATTCATAATTGAAAGAAGTAGTCCATTTCAGTAAAATGTTAGTGAAAACAGTTAATTGTTTTGTCATCCAAATTCATAGTATTCCTGAATTCTATACATGGATGTAGTAGGCAGAATTTTGGCTCCTGTGACCTTCACCTCCTGTGTTACTCGGTGGTTATGTTACTTACATACTAAAGGGACTTCTCAGATATAACTAAGAATACTAATCAGCTGACAGATTAGCCTGGATTATCTAGGTGGGCCCAGCTCAGTGTAATCATATGAGCTCTTAAAAGCAGAAGAGCAAGGTAGGAGAGGAGGCCAGAGAGATGTGGCAGAGGGGCAAGTCTGAGATTGAAAGCATGAGAAGGGTTTAACTCAGTGGAGCTGGGCTGACTGTGGAGGGGGCCATGGGGAAAGCATAAGGAGATTCATTCTGCCAGCAACTTGAATGAGCTTGGAAGTGAACTCCGTGAGATAATAAGTAAATGTTGTTTAAGCAGCTCAGTTTATAGTGACATTATGTCAGTGTAGGGGCTAAAAAATTAATACTTTTCCTCTCACCTTCTAAGTTCTTTTAGCTGGGCTAATAATCAAATTAACAGAAATAGATTAACAGGATAAAATCAAAATTTTAATACATGCGCATGGGGAATTCATATAAGACAATGAGGCAATATTGGTTCTATATGACATTTTAGAAAAAGGAGAAAGGTGTGTTGGGGGGGGCAGGTTATCGGATTTCAGAAGTGAGAATGGGTGATTTACAGGTAATTGAGGAAGAGCAGAACACACATGGCAGGCAAATTCTTTCCAAGCAACTCAGAAACAATGGAACACAGAGGGTATCTAGCTAACAGGCCCCTGCGAGAAGCCTTCTTATTTACCATACTTAATTCAAATTAGCCTATGGCAAACATCCTAAGATTTTCTTTCTGAAACAGGTTTTTCTGTCTGAATCACTGGGGCAGGAAAGGGAGCAAGGTCAAAGATTCTTTTGTTTCTTAATAACCAGCTTAAAATCAATATTCCCAAAAGGCAGCTTCAGAATGGCAAAACTTTGATCCCCTTCATCAACAATGGGAAACTAATATAATGGATGCCAAGTTATAACATCTGCCCAAGGTAATGTTTAAAGAACAAAATGCAAAGAATACGGAAAGATCTGTAAAGAAGAGCTCTCCTCCTGCCTGGAGCAGCTAGACTACTACTGAGAGAGAAGTACATTTTTATCTTTTAAAAGTTGATTAAATCTCTGAACATGAAAGTATTAGTTCATGTAAAGTGTAGAATGAGTCAAGAGACAAGAGGTCTTTTTCATGAACAAGTCTTGAAAAACTCCAATGTTTAATGGCAAGGAAGAAGGGCAAGCCTTAAAGAGACAAGGAAATAGCCAGAAAAACAGAAGAAAAAGTAAAAGAATAATATCACAGAAGGC